CAGTCTGGGACTTAAACCATGGTTGACTACGTGGGAGTCCAGCAATATAACCTTTACACCATCTGCTGGTCCCATCAACCTCCTTTCAAAGAAAGGTAGTGATCACAATCTGTCTCCTTCTCACTAATTTCCTCTGCAACATTGTCTCGGTGGGGGGGCGGTGGGGGGAGAGAAAGTGAGAAAGCAAGCCGCCAGGACCGGTACTTGAACCATGGTTGGCCATGCGGGAGTCCAGCACTCCCAACTACTGTGCTACCTGCTGACCCTGGTCCCCAAATATTTTATATCAAGATTTTAACAAATAAATTTATAATATGTGCGATTTATTTTATATCCTGTTGTTTTCTCTTAAAGTTATTTTAAAGCATTTTTGTCATTGAAATTCTTTTTCTTTTTTGGAAAGGTTTTTGCTATAGGGCATGTGCACTCACCAGAAAGAGAGAGAGAGACAGAGAGACAGAAAGTGAGAAATCACCCCCCAGGGGAGATGGGCATGCTGCAATCCCTTCTCCTTCATTCTCCTCTCGGAATGTTGGGCACGCATGCACATGCACCCGGTGTGAGTTTAAGCCCCCGGGTCCAGGACTTGACCCGCGATCGACTACGTGGGCGGCCAGTGACATAGCCATTACGCCAACTGCTGGTCCCGTCATTGAAATTCTTACAAGCATAATTATTAATTACCATAGAATAAATATACCATAATTTCCTCAGTAGATTTTTATTGTTGGACATTTTGGTTGCTTTGATTCCTTTTCTATCTTAAATAATATTACAATGAAGATCGTTGTACAGATATCTTTGCCACAGTTTAAAAATTATTTTCTAGGGACCAACAGATGGTGTAATGGTTACATTGCTGGATTCCAACGTAGTTGACTATGGTTTGACCTGGACCCAGTGGCTTAAAACTCATGCCGGGCGGGCATACGTGCCCAAAATCCCAAGAGAGGAGAACAGAAGAGAAGGGATCACAGCGTGGCTGTTCACCCCCAGGGGGGTCGGGGGGGATTTCTCGCTTTCTCTGTCTCTCCAGTGAGCGTGCATACCCTATAGCAAAACTCTCTCCCTCAAAAACGTGTATATTTTCTGGCTTAGCTGGTGGTATGGTGGTTAAAGTGGCTGGATCCCAAATGGCTGACTGGGTGGTTTGAATCCTGGACTGAGTGACTTGAAAAACATGCTGGGTGTATATGTGTGTGTCCCAAAATTCCTGAGAGGAGAAATGGAGAAGGAATTGTGACATGACCATGCCCCTGGGGATGGTTTCTCCTTTCCCCTCCATCTTTCTTTCTCTGGTGAGAACATGTGGCCTCTAGCAAAATTTAAAAAAATATATTTTCTGTAAACTCCTAGAAGTAGAATAACTGTGATTAAAGGCATAAATGTAGGCCCAGTTCTGGTAGCTCTGGCTAGATACTGCTGTTTAGCAGGTTGGGGCCAGATGGGAGGCTCCGGCTTAATTCTTGGCACAACCTAAAAGCCTGGCCCCATGATGCCTGCCTGGAGGCCCAGCCAGGAGACTGAGGAAGGGGGATTGCACCAGGTGAGCCATGCGCATGTGCATGCATACACACATGCAAAGATGATTTAAATAGAAGACAAAAGAGAATACAGGTGAATGTTTTATAAACTTACAAAAGGAATGGCCTTATTGGTGACACTAAAGGTAGCAACTGTAAGGGAAAAAGATAATTGATTGCCTAACAATGAAAACATTTGGTATTAGAAGAACCACGTGGAGGGCCAGCAGGTGGTTATGGCGCTGGACTCCCACAAAGCTGATTGTATTTTGAGTCCTGAGCCTGGCAGCTTGAATATCATCGTGCTGGGAGTGTGTGTGTGAGTGTACCCAAAATCCCAGGAGGAGAATGGAGAAGAGATTGTGGTGTGGTCACTCCCGCCACCCCCACCCCAGGGTTGTTTCTCACTTTCCCTCTTATTGTTTCTCTGGGGAGCACTCATGTCCCCTGGCAACAGCCTTACGAAGACAAAAAAGAACAGCCACTTGGAAATCATGGTAGACAAATGGCAATAAAGAGTTTACAAAAATGATGGGGCCAGCAGGTGGCGTGGGGGTTAGGGTCTGGACTCCTACGTGACCAACCCTGGTTTGAGTCTCGGACCTGGTGTCTTGCTTTTTTGCTTTTCCTTTCTCTCTCTCGCTAGTGGGCACATGTGCCTTAATAGCAAATTAAAACATAATAATAATAACAATGATAATACATTTATAAAGAGTTTACACAAATATAAAATACATAACTCACAATTTAAAAAAATATTCCCCAACAAAAGAAGAAAAATAAATGACCAACAAACATTTGAAAGGATGTTCAGCCCCAGTGGCCATTAAGGAGACAAAAGTAGAAGGATGCCATTTTTTAACGATCAGTCCATCAGAAATACCTCCCCTGAGGATATGTGATAGGAATATACATGGCTATATTTCTGGAAGCGTTTCGTTCGTTAAAATACACATGCACATTTTCATCCAGGAGTACTGTCTTTAGGAATTTATTTTAAGGGGATTATCAGACAGATGCCCAATGATGTTGACTGTAGCATTGTTCATTAATTAAAAAATGGAAAACAACTGGGAATTTGGTGCAGTGTTGGTACAGCTATCCGTGGACTGTTATGTAGGTGTGAGACTGATCGTGTGGCCCCGAATGGACTGACATGGAAAATGCCCAAGGTCAGTCAGTGCAGGGCTCTGCTACTCAGAGATCACATGGGAGGTTCCCACACTGGAGTCCCACACTGGCATTCCGAGGTTGCGCTATACGTGTGTGGTTACACAGGCAGGCCCCGTGATCCTGGCTAGCTGGAGGGGGAGGGGAGGCTAGTGGCGAGGGAGTTGGAGGATGGATCACGAAGCGAAGACTGTTGGGGATGACCTGTCTTTCTCTCCTACTCTCACTCTGGCTCTCTCTCTCTCATGTAAGAAAGGAGAAAACTTAAAAACAAATAAACAAAAAAACCTAGGTATATTAAAGAGATACAAAAAATGAATGAGTGAATGAATATGCACAGATAAAAATATGGAGGGACCAGCAGTTAGCATAATGGCTATGTCACTGGTCCCCCATGTAGTCGACTGTTGTTCGAGTCTCGGACCCTGTGGCTTTAACTCACGCCGGGGGTGTGTGTGTGCGTGCCTAAGATCCAGAGAGGAGAACGGAGGAGAAGGAGGGGTTGTGGTGTTGCCATCCCCCCTGGGGGGGGGTGATTTCTCGCTTTCTGTCTCTCTGTCTGGCGAGCACACACGCCCTATAGCGAAAACCTCTCCCCCCCCCCAAAAAAAAAGAAAAAATATGGATAAATGTGAACTGTATGGATAAATGTGAACTATAATATGAGTTGTATTTTCATCTAATTAGAGGGGTTATGGCTGTTCTTTTTTATTTTGCTTCTTTATTCTTCCTTGAGTTTGAAAATAAGTATCGAACCTGATGAATAGGGAGAAAAAGCCAGATGTGGTACAGGAGCTGGAACTGCGCAGTCCTGCCTGGGGAGTGTTAGGCTAACCGCCCTAGGTATTTCCGTCTTGCTTTCCCTGAAAATTCATCAGCTGTGACTTGTTTGGATTTAAGCATTGTCTTGTTACCCCTCCTCTTTTTCTCCAGTTCTACAGTTCTGGTTTCTTTGAGTGGAGCCTTCTAGTAATTCACAAATAGCTAATCGGATGAATTTTCCCACGTTCTGCTCTCCAGCCCTCCACCTGCCCCTCAGCCCCCCCACCCCCAAGCAAAGGGGAAGGTTGTCTTTTCTGAGAACATGCTGGTGCCTGGGACTCTGAAAAGTAGCAAACGGTACAGAAAGAGTTAGGTGGAGGCCAGCGGGCATTCCAAGGCCCAGTTCTTTAACTTCCCAGTTTCGCATAGACTGTGAGCACAGCTTTTGGGAAGGAAGAAATCATCATTTTAGATGCCACAGCTGTTCACAGCTTTTTACTTGAGGGACGACTCTTGTTTGTGTGTTTCTAAGATTTTCTCAGTGTCGTGGATTAAAACTTGAAAGGGTACATTGATAAAACGTAGCTCGAACCATTCTTGAACTTTAATTTCTGAGAACAGTGACTGTTATACGTTGTAGAAGGTACCCTCATAGGGAAACATGGCTTGTCTGAGACATGATTTTAGTTTGGGCAAATTAATGAGTAAAAATCTTGTATTGGTATAGATTAACTTAATTTTTATTTACCATTGTTTTTCATTATTACAGTGCTGCAGTTAAGTTGAAGAAAACAGAAAATTTAGGAAAGAGGATAAGGTTATGAATTTTTTTTTTTTTTTTTTTTTGCAAGACGGTGTCATTATTTCCTTTCAAATTTTTTTCTTAAGCATCTAAAATACAATAGAGTTTCAAGGTTATGGTCCCGACCAAAAAAAAAAGGCAGATTAAGCAAAACCTTTTCTCTTTTCATCTAAACTGCCTCCTAAATAAGCAGTGGTCTGTTAGCTCTGTGTTGTTTCCCATTTGCCTTTGGGAAAACTTGTCAGCATATTTAGCAGAAAGTGGAGACTCAATTTCTCTTAACAGATTTGCATTCATTAGCGATATCCTGAGTGGAATTGTTCTGCTGCAAGAAATTCTCAGAGTTAAGCTTGGAGGAAGTGAATCAGATGTTTCTAAACAATTCTATTAGGTTGTCAGAAAAATCATGACTTATTTTTCTATGTATTTCTATGCAAAAATGGATCTTGACTTTTCACATGACCCAGTAGTTACGTTCCATTCTTGGAGGGTAGAAACCGAACAAAAGAGCAATGAAACCCGACATTTTCCTTCTAACCCCTTGAATTTTTAACTGGGCCTCGTGGCCTAGACTAGGCCTGCTGTGTTGATAAACTCTGCCATTTGGCTGGTGGGTTTGGTGGAAAGAAAGCGTATTCTTGCCCAGTTTGGTTATTCTAAGAGAGCTTTTTTCCTTCCCTCTAGCCAAGGTAGGCTCCTGTTCCCTTATACTTATTTTTTTTCCGTTTTCTTCTCATTTGCAGAGTACGCGGGCAGAGTTTGACCTGCCAGAATATTCTGTTCGCCGAAGATACCAGGACTTCGACTGGTTGAGGAACAAACTGGAAGAATCCCAGCCCACTCATCTCATTCCCGTAGGTAGTAAGTCACTGCAGCTTGTTTCTCATTTTCCTGTTTATCTTCTCTGAAGATGTGTACCCCTTACGTTATGGGTAGACTTTGCTATTTAGTGCATACCGGATTCACCCACCAAATGTATGTAAAATGTATCCATGGATACTGTATAGCATATCCTTTTGGATTTGAGTTTCTGATTTGCTCTACAGTGTGCCAGGTTCTTGGGTGGGTGGGGCAAATTTTCACTTGCATCATAACAATTTCCTGAGCTGTGCAAAGTCTGAATTATTATTGGCTGCATCTAAAGATTGAAACTGGAAGTGACTTATTGAGCTGACTCTTGTCCTTGGTAGGCACTGTTCTTGTAGTTTGGCTACTGACACCAGGTGAAGAATGATGCCTTCCATGACAGCTGACTGGGTTGTCTTTAGAAATGGGTAACTCAGGGTGCAGGAATCTACTGCTCCTCTATTCAAGCAGTGTAACTTTTGTATACTATTAACACCTGTGCTTTTTTTTTTTCATTAGGAGAGAGAGAGAAAGGGAGAGACAGATAGGCTTTTTTTTTTGTTTTTGTTTTTAATGATAGAGTATGTGTGAGTGTGCTTGGGAGAGAGGGAGGCACCCTTGACAGGATCTCATCATGCTGTGGTCCACTTTCCCCAGTCCTCCAGCTTCTCAGGATCCTGCGCATCCACTGCATGCTAGCACATTTTTAGGCTAACCTTGTGGCCTAGACTGGTCCTTGTAGTTGGCCATGTGGCTTCCAGCCTTGCAGGGCACACGGCATTTGACCACTGTGTCACAGCAGCTGGGTCAGAGAGAGAGATGGCTGGCAAGATCTCCTAGTGTTGCAGTCCTTCCAAGTGATGGTGTTACATGTACACCACTAGAAAGCCAGGATTACAGGTCTGGCAGCCATGCCTGGTGTGTTCAGACGGGGCTGGCAACCGAACTCATTCCTCCCATGTGACCTCCAACCTCTCGAGTGATGGCACTGTCCTTGCATCGCTGTGTCTGGGCCTGCACATTGTGAAAGACAGAACCAAAGCAAATCACATTTAACAGGCGGCAGCCACCTGTAGCACAGCACTAAGTGCCATATGAAGGAGGCTGGATCCCATGTAACTAACCAGAGTTTGAATCCCAGCCCAGGTAGCAGCATGCTAGGTGTGCATATGTGTGCCCAGGATCCTGACGGGATGGGGAATTGGAGGAAAAAGGCTTACAGTGTGACCAGGCCCCATTATGGGGGTGCAAGCCTTGTCCCTGTCCCTCTCCCTTCCCCTCTCCTCCTCTCTCACACGTGTGCATGCAGGGGCCTTCTGGCATAAAAAGGAGAAAAAGACTACTAAATCAATGTGTTTAACGAGTACTTTCCTGGCTACTTTTTTTAGATAGTCAAAATAGTAACTATTTAGACCTCTATGTAGTCATTTCTTTGGGTTTTGGAGATTTGGGGGCAGTTCGGGTCATCATGTCTTCAGAGGGGCCGATTTATCTTTCAGCAATATGTTTAATTGAATGATAACTTTTTAGCGATACCAACTTTTCCACTACCACAGCATCTTCCAACCTTCTCTTTCCTCGTGGGTGAAGAGGCTGAATATGCCGTGAACATGCAGGCAGCTTTCTCGGGTTCCCGGGCAGAAAGAGCCATGTTGCCACCACTGTGATGGAAATGAAGGGGTCTGCCTGATGCTCCTGAGCTCTGATCTTTCTCAGGGCATCTCCTCTTCGCCATCATAGATCTCTAAGTCTGAAGTTTTGCTTTTCCATCTTCAGATCACTTAAAAACATACCTGAGTAGGAAGTAAGGTTTCCCCCCCCCCAAAGGTTTTTGTCATAGGTGTGCGTGACTGCCAGAGAGAAACAGTGAGAGGGAAAGTGAGAAATCACTCTCCAGGAGGATGGCCACAGGACAATTCCTTCTTCTTCATTCTCCTCCTGGGACTTTGGACACACATGCTCAAGTGCCTGGTGTGATTTTCAAGCTGCCAGGTCTGGGACTTGAACAACGCAGTTAGCCATATGGGAGTCTAGCATCCCAACCACCATGCCACCTGCTGGCCCCAGATACAAGTTTTTAAATAATTAGAAGTATCCCTTAAAATAGGATCTTTTAAAAAACTACCAGAGGGTATGTGAACTTGTCAAAGAGATATGAGGGAAGGAAGGAGGGAGGAAAAGAGAGAGAGAGAGAGAGAGAAGGTATGTAGGGAGAGGAAGAAAGCACCCCCGATGGGATGTAGTCATGCCGCACTCCCTTCTCCATCTCTCCATCCTATTGGGAATTTTGGCATGAACACACACATGCCCAGCATGATTTTCAAACTTCCAGGGTGCAGGGTTCAAGCCATAGTCAGCCACATGGGGTCTATCTTCCTTAACACTAAGCTACAGGGCCAGCTCTGAAACAGAATCTTAATTTGGCAAAATTGGCAACTAATGAATAGTTAAAAAAAAAATAAACTGTCTGGGGCTAGCAGGTGGCATGGTGGTTAAGGTGCTGGACTCCCACATGGCCTACTGTAGTTCAAGTCCCAGACCCAGTAGCTTGCTTTCTTACTTTCCCTCTCTCTCTCTCTCTGGTGAGTGCGTGTGTCCTATAGCAGATTAAAGATAACACTAATAAATAAATTTAATAATTCTTTTTAAACTGCCTTAGGACAATTGTAGAATTACATAATTAACGTGAAGATGTTCGAGTTCTCACATAACCCCATCCAGTTTTGTTTGTTATGAACACATTAGGATGGCACACCTATCACAATTAGACCAGCCACCACCATCATCATTACATCAACGTTATTATTAACTAAAAGTCCTTTATTCAGAGTGCCTTTATTTCTGCGTAGCGTCCTTTTTCTGTTTCAGGATCCCATCTATTGTAGGATGCTGTAGTCCACTATGAGTCAAATCTCTTCAGGCTCTTCTTGGTTCTGACAGTTTCTCAGGCTTGTCTTTATTTTTGATGACCTTGGAAGTTTTGAGAATTGCTAGTCAGGTATTGACATTTGTTTGATGTTTGTCTTATGATTAGACTGTGGAAAACTCCGTTATTAGAAAGCGCCTTCCCTTCGTGTCATAGCCAGGGCACGTGCGACCAACGATATGCTATATATCCTTGTTGGTGCTGACCTCAATCACCTGCCTTCAGGGAGTTTTCAGCAGGTTTCCCACTGTATAGTCACTCCTTTTTTCCTCCCTTCCCCTCCTCTGCTCTTCAAAATACGTGATCCTCATTATGCCTCAGGGGATTAGGGCCCCCCTTCTGGCAGCTAGCGTGCTGGACAGTTAGTACTTGAAGATCAAAGGTGAGCGAGAGCAAACAGTGCCACCTGCTGGTAAAACACAGTAATGCTCATCCATAGATATTGATGGGTCTCCAGAATGCCCACTGTGAATCCTGGTTTCTCTTTATGGTCTGGATAGAAGCAATGAGTAGGGAGGTACTTTATAAGCAAGAGCAGACTTAAATTTGTTCATAAATTCTTGATATTCACATATCCAAGTGGGAGAGATTTAATATTGGAGAGCATCTCTGATTTAAATATAAAATTCAAACCAGAAACAAGCCTTCTTTTTCTCTACAGAAAATAATTTTTCAGCAACTTTCCTAGGAGATTTCCATCTATTATTAAACATCGACTCTGACTTTGTATTAATCTTATTACTAGGTCTGGTAGTTGACCTTGAAGAAGAGCAGCGAGTGGGGTAATGGGTTGTAAGACAGATAAGGCATCCCTGCCCTGGGGATCCTGTCATCAGATGGGACCCAGTAAACGTACAGCAGAGTTTATTGTGTAGATTTTCTTTCTTTTTTTTTTTTTCTTTGGAGAGGTTTTTGCTACAGGGCGCGTGCACTTGCCAGAAAGACAGAGAGACAGAAAGCAAGAAATCACCCCAGGGGAGGTTGGCTACACTGGAATCCCTTCTCCTCCATTCTCCTCTCGGGATCTTGGGCACGCACGCACGCGCGCCTGGTATGAGTTTAAGCCATCGGGTCTGGGACTCTAACCATAGTCGACCAAATGCAAGTCCAGCGACATAGCCATTACGCCAACTGCTAGTCCCTCATTTCTTTGTTAAAAAGTAACTTTATCAAGATATAATTATACCTTGTAAGTCACCCATTTAAAATGTACAGTTCCAAGGCTTTTAGTATATTCATTAGAGATGTACAAGCACAGCATAATCAATTTTGAAACCTTTATGTCACCCTAGAAAGACACCTTATACTCCTCAGTTATCACTTCCAAGTCCTCTGTCTTCCCCAGTCCCTGGCAACCAGTCCCTGTCTCTATAGATTTGCATATTCTGGACATTTCATGTAAGTGGAATGAAATACTGTGTAATCTTAGTATAATATGAGGTTGTTGGGAAAGTCATGATGTATTTTTCTTTTTTTTCTATTTAAAAACGTATCATGACTTTCCCGACAAACCGCTGTCTTCAAGGTTCATTCATGTTGTATGTATTAGTACTGCATTCCTTTTCATTGCCAAATTATATTCCATTGTATGGCTATGCCACATTTAGTCTGTCTACTCACCCTTGTTTCACTTTTTGGCTATTACGAATAATGCAGTTATGAACATTTTGTACATAAATTTTTCTTTGGACATATGTTTGCCTTTCTTGGGTGTTTACCTAGGAGCGTAAATCATATAATTCTATATTTAACCTCTTGAGGAACTGCCAGACTGTTTTCCAAGGTGACTGCATCATTTTACATTCCCACAGGAGTGTATGGGAGTTGAGATTCCTTCACAGCTTCATCAATGCTGGTAATTATCTGCCTTTTGATTATAGCCATCCCAGTGGGTGTGAAATGTTATCTCATTGTGGTTTAAATGTGCATTTACCTGTTGGCTAATGTGTTGAGGATCTTTTCATGTGTGTCTCGGTCATTTGTACATCTCTCTTGGAGAAAGATCTATTAAGATTCTTTGCCCATTTAAAAATTGGGTTGCCTTTTTATTCTTTTTTGCTTTAAAGTATATTTCTTGAGAGA